CAAGATATATATATATATATATGGGTGGCGGGGTGCTTTGATGCGATTAAATTTTGCATAGGTGTTTGTAGTATTTCGTAGTGGTGTGTCATGTATAGAGACCATGACATTTCAATATGTGGAAGACGTGGGCCGTGTTCCATGTCATTCCCGTGTTCCGTGTTCGGCCAAAGTTGGCGGACATGAATGCCATAACATCAGTGGAGATCAGACATGGCCCTCAAGGAGTTCTCCACGGAACTATTTACTGTATTTATAACTCTAATCAAGGAAGGTGTTTTTTGGGGGCCGGATGACCCGAATGTTCAGCTCATTAGCACATCAGCCTGCAACCAACATTTGTTGCTATGAAAAATCGGGTTTCGAATTCCGGTGAAGAGCGGAGAAAACACCCATGGCACATGGTTTTTCACCAGGTATGTCCGATCCTTGCTGGAGAAGAATGCGGAGACTGGGCTGAAGAACCGTCAGCAGTGGGGGGGAAACATTGATCGGCCAAGTTTGCAAGTACCAGGACCTTCAGTTCGTGACCTCGAACTGGAGTCTTTGTTTGTGACCCTTCACGAGCAGCCTAATGGACAAATTGTTGAAATTAGAACATGTGCAATTTGCAATGAACAAGTCGTTCAAACAATCTTTTAAATGACGAGATGTTCTTTGTTCTGAAAGCCAACAATTTGGCATGCCTTATCACAGCCTTCAGGCCATGGTGGACTCAGAAAGATTGTTTCATTTGGAGGAGTGTGGTCAGCATAGAATGAAACAGATCACTGCTTGTTGGTCCGTTTTGAATTGTTTTTTCTACTTCAGCCGCTCAGCTGGCGTTGTTGTTTTTGTCGGGATGTGTGTCGGAGTGGAGCATCCAATCTCAGCTTTGCCAGAAGGAGTCCTTGGAGCCTGAGACAACATCTATGGTTTGGGTCGGCTTTTCCTGGTTTCAGCCTGGTTCCAGGGGTGGTGGGGGGACTGTATCAGGTGATGTTTATTTTGTTGAACTGAGTGAATCGTTTTCTGGGCCTGGTAAAACATGGTGTTTCCGTCTCCTAAAGCCTTAAGCACACCCCTAATATATTATATATGTTTATACTTGTTTATATTTTTGTATGGCTCTTTGTTCCGAGTCTTCCATGAGTGCCATCTTGAAACAGCTGGAAACCATAGATTTTGTCCTTTTGCCCGTTTCACCTTGCAGCTATTTAAGCTTGCATGTGCCGCACGTGGCGCATTTGGAACCTCACAAGACCCAGCCCTGACGTGGGGCACCCATCACAATGAGCGGAGCGCCCTTGATGCTGGAGCTCCACGGATTTGCTTTACAGTTCATAAATCAGATTGTTACTACTGTATATCAGATAGACCGAATCATTTTTTGAGAGACTCCGCTGAAGATCTGCCCCAAGCAGATTGGGAAAGTCTGGTAGCCTGTGGCCTATATGTCCACTTGCTACGACTATGCTTGTCAGCTTGTGGGAGTTGCATCGGTGACGCTCATGTTGAGCTGGATCGTGCAGTCCGCAGTGAGACGAGCAGACAGAGTTACACGAGTCACAGTCCAGGTACTGAAATGAGAGCTGCCGGGGCCTTTTGTTTCCCTGTAGAGCGTAGAGTGGCATCTTCTCATTCACGGGCCTGCAGATTGTTGGACAAGTGAACAGGCCAGCTGAAAAAATATGGGCAAAAGATAAGGGCCCAAGACTCCATCACCGGGTTTGGGTCCCCTGGTTATCCGGATCGGATGGTTTTTCTCGGGTCTCGTGGGTGTTCAGAAAGCTGGCAGGCATGGGAAGATGTTGTTTCTCCTAGACGCTCCATGGGACTGCCATATATGCCTACATTGACCCCTTTGGCACCACCCCTGGCCTGATCCAGGTCGTGTCTGGGTACGTTGGATCCTGGAGCCGCAAATCGGTCCCTCGAGGTGACTGGATCCAACCATGGTGGGCCCAACCCGCCTCGGCGGCGTGCCGCCGTCCCTTGAGGACCCCAACGTGAAGCGCAAAGATGGCTGGTCGGCGCTGGGATTGGCTCCCTGGCTGCGAAACCTGGCGTTCTCTCCATGCGGCCCTGAGAGACGTTTCCTCTACAAACCAGTGGTTTTCAGGGTCCATGTTAGTTTTCCACAGGGTGTGTTTCTTGTTTCTCTCCGTCCAGGAGCTACTTTAGAGTGGGTGCTTGTGTGCCACATTGTGCCACCGGTGAGGATTTTTGTTCCGCTGCAAAGGTTCCTCAGCGGATCCTCAGCAGATCCTTGAGGCCTTTGAGAGACTGCCCTGCTTGATCACATCAGGAAAATCTTCCAAACACCCGAGACCCAGAGACCCGGGACTCGAGACCTGCCACCCCAGACCTGTGCGGGAGAACATATATACATTGATACCAGCACCAGGTCACCTGCCAGGTCACCTGGGACCGGAAAAAGTCTGCAAAAGCTACCATTTCGGAGACCTGTTGAAGTTGGAGGGTGCTGGTAGAGATGTTTAGGGCCAGACGCATTTCATGCGTCGGTGACACATTGTGACACACTCCCCTTCAAAGACTATGTTGGATCCATAGCACATGGTGGTCATGGATCGCTCCACTCTTCATTCTTCAGGCCATCCGTGCCAACATGCGTCCGGCCACGAAGATGATGATCGCCGTGGAAGGGAAGGTTCTGAGCACCGTGCCAGGCGGGCGTCCGGGGTGGATCGGATGGACGGATCGACCGTACCGGACGGGTAGGACTGGAAGAGTTACCATCCATGGGACATGGTCATTTTCGTGGGGTAAATGCATTTATTCCAGTCCCATGGATAGGTCTGGATCCCCTAACTGGGGAGACGTTATTCTCCTGTTTTGGAAGTGTTTTGAACCAAAAGCGGGCTTCCTGGACAGCAAAGCCTTCCAACAGTCGAAGAGTTGGTGGGAAGAAGGGACACCTGCAGAAGGAGTTATCATCACTGTCCTCACATAACTGTTTGTCTCCTCACCTTCTTATGCTCCCGTGCATCATTCCTTGTTTGTGTTTTTATTCTTGGCGCCGATCAAGCTAGTTCCTTTTTTTTGCCGCAGGGATTCAGTGAGATGATCGTGTTGGAAGCGTTGTTCTGTGGAGATTCCTTCGTGGTTTGCTTTTGGTTGGGATCCAATCGAAGAAACCAAAAAAAGCACCTCAAAGCCTCAAAGCTCGGCTTTGTTCGTGCGCCTCTGGAGACGTCCAGCAGCGCAGCAATTCAATGCCCTCCCAAAGCCTGAAGCTGAAACTGCGCATCCTGCATCACTCCGACGTCAGGTTCACAACTGACCCTGTGGGAGCTGGCGGAGCAACACAAGGATCTACAAAAGCTCATCAAGTCCAAGCTCTCCAGCGCCTAGGTGGCGGAGGTGTATAGGTAGTGGGTCGACCTGTGGGTCTGTAAATCTGTAGCAGTCAGGCTTCACATCATAGAACATCACGATATCTTTGAACTGTCGGCCTGCAACCAGGCCCCATCATCATCCACTGTTATACTGGTATTAGGGGAAACCCAATACATATAGTGGGTATATCTATCGGGACGGGCTGAGAAGGTCTCCACCAAAGAAAGGGGCAGGGAGGGCAGGGGGAGGGGCAGAGGCGGGAACCCAAAGTTCAAACTTTCCCAAGTGGCTGCGATTGCTTAGCAATTCTTTCAACTATTCCGCAGTGTCAGCCGCTACTTGTACCTTTCAAAGGATTTTTCGGGTGAACACCGGATTTCTATCAGGTTCTCAAGCCAATCATTGCAGCAGTCGCTGACGGATCACTGCAACTCAGGCTCGAAGAAGCTCATCCACTTGTCAGAACCCGGTCCCGTTCGAACGTCGCCGTTGCGCGTCGAGAAGAAACCGAGAAGGACACCCCCCATGCGCTCTTTCAGGCAAAAACTTGGCCGAGATTGAGAAACGCTGGCCAGGCGAGAATGGTGGCAGTCGCGGAAGCCGCGTTTGACGATGCGTTGCCAATGAGGAACAGTTTTCAGCGAGCTGAAGCCGCAGGGGGATGGAGCAAAAAACAACCAACTAGCCAACTACTGTATAAGGTACAGAAACACAGCTATAAATGATGCACCCATTAAACATTATGTTAAACATTATGTTGAATTTGTTTCAGATCTCATCATTTATTGAGCTTTCTGGATTGGAGAAAAACACAACACACTCCTTTTCAGCACCTGCACCAAACACCAGATCTCGCAGCAAGATGAGCATGCCTAAGCTGCGCTTGCGGAGGCACCTTGCTCCGGATGCAAATCGCTGACTGAGCGAATAACCGGGTGCGCGCGGCGTCGAGACGCTCGCGGTGGAGACGCGAGAAGTGTGCGAAGAACCGGACGTGGCCTTGAAAATGAGAGTCTGGGAGAGGCATATTGCATGACACTCCATGTGACTGGAATATTGCGTGACACTCCATTGACCCCTCAAAGATTTAAGATGTGAACGGATTGTGAGCATCACCAAGGTAACCACTCAAGGCATCTACCGAGCCTTCAAGAGACCACTTGAGGAAAATCATGCCCCCAAGACCCTACCCCTTCATGTTCTTTCTATCAACTATTATATAAATTGTAGCACCTCGTGCCAGTACTTACCTTGATGAAGCCAGTTCCAAAGGTTGGAGCAAAATTGATTAGAGATGGTGCCAGACACATACTTGCACTATCTTGGGCTCATGCCAGGTGAAGAACAAACTTTGTCATGCCAGTGCATGTTGAAACGTCTTCACCAAGACCTTTACAGATTCAGTCTAGGTCCATTGTGCTGGGATCACAGCAGAACTCATGTGGCTGCTCGTGACTTTAGCTCCAAACCCTTTCTGGACAGTACTGCCTTGCGATGTGAGACTTCCGAACCTGGTCACTTGGAAAAAATCATGGATGCATGTAGAGTATTTGACTTCAAGAACTGGTCATCCAACGTTGGATATATGCATTGCCTGAATTTGCTGGACAGGCAGAACTCTTTGCCTTGAGAGTTGTCCAAGTGGGACGCGCATCGAGTGTCGGACGAAACAATGTCTGAGTGGGAAACGGATCAGCTCCATGCTCGAGGCCTCTAAGACCTTACTTTGTGATCCTGCTGGGCCTTTGAAGGGTCTTCAGTCTTGAGCACAGTGGATGCGTGGTGTGGGCATGGTCCTGAGCAGCTCGACGCGAGATGATCAGTATAATGGCAAAGGGCGACCTGATTTCAGACCGGAAAGGTGGCGATGAAGAGCATCTCCCATGATAATATCCCAGACACTCCATGGGACTGGCATATTTGCATACATTGACCCCCAAAGCCACCCCAACTGATCGGCAAATATGGCAGTCCCGTGGAGTGTCTGGGTATGGTATCAATCCTGATCGTTGGATTGTCCGTTCTCTGCTGAACTGTATGAAGCAAGCTGAATTCGACCGACGCGACAAAGAGGGACATTGATGGACCTTTGAAGCCAACTTGTGAGAGACGCTGTTTGCAGAGGAACATTCACTTTCCAGGCGTAAGGCAATCCGCTTCCATGATTAATTTTTTCAGGGAGACTGATATCACGCGCAGCAGGATTGGGCCTGTCATGGATTGGCAAGCTTAGCAGGTCACTATAGCAATCCATATCAATCCATGTCCCTTTCCCATGGGAGTTATTGGACACGCAGACGCACCACAGGGGCACTAGACTCCAAGGCTTTGTTGGACCAGTGACCAGTTCTTTTCTGTACATTCTGCATGTGGATGGGTCCAAGACCAGGATGTGTCCACTCTCTTTCTGCACCTTTGCTTTTTGTTTGTTCGATCTTTTATTCGTCCCAACAACGACCACGCTCCTCGTTTCTCGCACGAGCATTTGTGCACCTCAAAAATGTAATATTTGAGTAATCCAATTGGTCAGGAGACTTTAACGGAGACGAATGGAGACATGAATGTGCACGCTCCTTTGCGTGTTGTTTTGCTCCTTTTTTCAAACATGGATGAAGTCAAGGCCGTTTGGACGGGAGGGCGGTTTCGAACCACGCGTCCGTGTCGGCCGTTTCAATTGAAGCACAAGAAATATCAACAACCAGGACCTTCAAAGTGACCTCTTTGGAGTCTGTAAGTGACCTCTTTATGGACTAAGTGACCTCAAACTGGGATCTCAAAAGGTCACTTTGAAGGTCCTGGAATGTGTTCTCTGACTTCTGAGAGATCTCTGTTTTGGTTCATATCACTGACTGTTTCGTGTGCTACATTGAAGTGCCACAACACAACACCTATTCTATCCAAGTTGGTGATTGGTGGCACACCTATCCACTTGGAGGGGCCAATGTATGTAGCTGAAGCTTGGAACCGACCTTCCCAGGTGGGATCGGTGATGGTGGGTGCCAGGCAGTGCCAGGGGGTCGAAGACCATCTGAGGAGATGGTGAAGTCGCCCTTTTTGGGGCACTTTTCGTTGTTCGACCAGGCCCATGGCACCACGTTGGAGCAGCTGTGTGCTGCGGCGGCTGCGCCTGCGCCGGCTGCGAAAAAAGCGCAGTGCGAGGGCGCTGTGCTTTCGCTTGGCGCACCAGCTCCCCGACACAGGGGATGCAGCACGACGATGACACGTGAAATGTGTGTGTTTGCAACGGGTTGATCCAAAATCCAATGGTTCCAATCTCATCCAATCTCGTATGTTTTGCGGTATGCAGGTCATTTAGTCCCTACTTGTATTATAAGTACTGAGGATTTACCCTGTACTTGAGGATTCCAATCAAGGGGACCTGCCTGTTGGGTCATCGCCGTTCAACCCAACGTCGTCCTCTTCGACCCGAGCACTAAGTTCTGAAGATGGTGATCCAAAGGGGACGCAATCTGTGTTGATGTGTGTTTTGTCTTCGGATTTGATTCACCAAACTCCAAGTAACGAAACTGAAGAATGGGAAGCCCAGGCCGTGGTTCCTCCCGGCCATCATCACAGCTGCAAGGGGCCTTTAGATTTTTCTGATGGCAGGTGGGTTAAGGTGATCGCAGAGTTCTTGTTCAGCTGGGAACATGTGAGATTGCCAGGTCGAATGTGGAAATCCCAATAAATTTCCAGACACTTTGTGTATGGCATATTTACCTCCATTCACCCTGATTCCACCAATACTGTATGCGAATACCATACATGGAGTGTTTGGGATTCAGCACCCACTTTTCCCAGCTAACACTGTTTGTAGAGACATTCCTCAGCACCTGAGAGTGGAAGAGTCCCCGTGTGCGAATGGAAGTGCAGCGACACGTACAGTGCAACTTGTACATATATATGTACCATATGTACTTTGGCTCAAGGATCAAGCGACTAGAAAAGGTGCGGTTTCCGTTCCGACGCTACGCCGCTTATGGACCGTCAGTGATAGCTTCAAACTTCGCTGATTAAGATCCACTCGCAGGTTATCAGCCGTACGCGCTCTTTATAGCCGTACGAGCTACACGAGACCAAGAACAAGACTAGTCATTACAGAAACCTGCAATGTCAAGCTCAGGAGGAAATGGAAGCGAACCCTATTCATTCGCTGCTCCTGGTGGTCCCAACACCATTTCGTCACCAGACTCTACAATGGGTACTGATTCATCAGCAAATGCTGACGTTATCACTATGCCTACTGGATCACAAATCTCGGAAAGATCCGTGCCACCGGCTCGGAATCTGACCGATCTTGCACCCGTAGGACCAAGAAGATCGATGAGAGCTACAACAAGATCTACATCGCCTATAACGTCTACCGCGAGATCCCCAAGAAGGAGTATAGAGAAGAGACGTGACGATGATAGAGGAACAAAAGAGCAAAGAAGAGAGATTCAGCTGGGTGAAGAATTGAGATCAGCGAGAAACGCATACAATTTTCTTCATGAAGAATATGAATGCATCCAAGCCGGATACTCACGACTACACCACGAGGCTGAAGTGGAGTTCAGGCAAATGTCTGACTACAACAGGAAGATGCAGGAACATCTACAAGAGATGACACAGGAAGACGAAGGAGCGACAATAAGAATTGAAGAGCTCGAACACAAGCTACGCTTGGCGGAATCGACAGCTGAACATATCTACATGAGATATCAAGAGCTTGCACAAGAAACTCATCAAGAACATTCAGAGCTTGAATCTGTGAAAGCAACGAAGGACAGAATGTCCCAAGAGCTTCAAGCAGCAATTGGACACATCCAAGAACAGAATGAATCTTCATTGGCGATCAATAGAAGATCAAAAGCCATTCAGGATGAGAACACAGCCTTCGTCGGAATAGCTGACCAGATACAAGCTAGAATGGTTGCGCTACAGGATGAGAATGTCAACATGCACGAGGTGATCCAACACCAGAGAGAAGAACAATGGAACAGTGAGGTAAGGGAAAGACGTCTTCAACACAGTGTTCACTCATCTCAAGATCAGAGCAATCAGGAAGCTATGGTTATTGATCATCTACGAGGTCAACTAGCTATGGTACGTGGAGCTGAACTCAACGCGAGAGCGGAGATAGGAGAGATGGAAGTGGGCATGAGGATGGAGATGTTTATATGCCAGACTGAAGTCTCTGCTAAAGAAATGGCAGAAATGAAGGCGAGCCACCATGAATACGAAGCAAACGTCGCAAAGGAGGTTATCGCAAAAGGAGAAATATTCAACAACGAAGTCCTAGAAAGTTCCATCCGTGAACGACAACAATTGAAAGACGTCAACCTCGCTCTATCCGAAGCCAACGCACAGCTGAAAAGAGAGAATATGATGAGAGCTCCTATGTTCGGCGATGATGGTGCTGAAATTCAACAGAAGATCAGAGAACTGGAGAATGCACTATTGGAAAGCCAGAAGGAGACAAAGAATGTCATTATGGAAAATGCGAAATTAAAAGCAGAAGCACGAATGGCACCCATAGTCTCTCGGTACAGCAAGCGTCCTAGTTCCAGAGACCGCGGGTTACCAACCCACGCGTCCGAGGAAGATGAGGTTCGGAACGCAAAAGAGGAGGCGAAGCACTACAAGGACGGGTACAATGAAATGACAGAGAGCCGAGATGAGATGTATGAATGGTATGCCGAAACCCACAACGAGTACGCCGAGGAAAGGGAGAAATCAATTGAGCTATCCGAGGCGAACAAATCATTGAGGGACAAGATTTCAGAAGCAGAAGCATCCTCTTCATCTCATCTTACACCGGCAACCTCTACAATCATGAAAGTATCGAGGAAGGAAGAATCAAAGATAAACGTTCCGTCATGGCCCAGGATCAATGATCTTGGACTATGGAAGGCAAATCTCATTCAATCGATCATCATTGCGGCCAATGATTCAGATCAAGAGCCCTGGATCGACTGGATCAAAGAAGCCATGGACGATCCTGATCCGGACAAGTTTGTCGACTCAGGAGACCAAAGATTCCATTCAATCGATGCCAAACTCGGCCTAGCTCTTACCAAGGTCGTCATGGATGCGAAAGATGATGGTTCAGGTGTAGCTATGAAGTTGAGGACGAGGATCAATGCAAAAGGGAGAACATCAAGCCTCATAAAGGGAAGAGAGGTCCTAGCCCTGATCCTTATGAATTTCAAGACAACATCAAATGTGGAAGTCTTATATACTTCAATGCACCTCTACCAACTAGAATATCAAGGAGACAAGAACTTATCGTTGTTCTTCCACACTTGGGATGAGATTCTGGCAGGAATGAAGCCCGTTGACGTCCCGAGCGACGAAACTCTTCGGGATCTCCTATGGAGAAAGATCAGGAACTCAAACCTCATGGCATACGACATCAGCGCCTACAATAGCATGAACGACGATGATGCCAAGAAGACATACAAACATCTACGTGATATGATCAGAAGGCACATCGAACGGCAAACTGAAGACAGGATGATCCTGGAAAAGGAGAAGGCAGTGAAGAATGTGGCCAATATCTTTCAGAATCTCAAACCAGGCGGACCTGCTCCAAAACTGAAAGCTGCACCAGCTGATCCGAAGAAGAAACCAAAAGGGCAACAAGAACAGGTTGTCTCAGAAGACGCTGCTGCAGTGAAGCCGAAACCCAATCCCAAGAAGCATCCTGAAGACAAGAACAAAAAGGGAAAGGGGAAAGGTAAAGGTGATGGAAAGGATCGCAGCCGAAGTCCGAGTACAGACAAGAAGAAGATACCATGCAAATTCTTCGTGAAAGGTAACTGCACTATGGGGAAAGATTGCCCATTCAGTCACAAGAAACCCAGATCACCATCCAGAGGATCTTCTGTCGGAAAGAATGACAAGCCAGTATGTTGGATGTCGAGGAACTTGTGAC